AATCAAATCTTCATGCTTCTTCACTACACTTTCCTCCATTGGCTTCGCCGGCATCTTAGATTGTAACATCTGAGTGTGGGCTTTAAAGGTGTCAAGAGCCTCATCTATTTCCACCATCGTTGCTGCAGATATGTAAGTATCTGTATTCAACAGTCTGCCTCGGACCTTACTTAAATATGTACCCACTATCTTTAAAACCCCGTATTGACGCCTGTAGATGTCGCGAGAAGATCTACAGCCGAAATTGCGGCTGTTCCGCTGCCTATTGTTGGTTGTGGTGGTGTCGTGAAACATCATCAGCTGCGAAATCCACCTTTCTGGCTCTCCAACTCGCCATGCTGAAGTGCAACGAAAAAAATTCGGGGAATTAGGTGAGAGGGGTCGATTAATAGGAATGCAATAATAAAAACGATGAAGTAACGTTCGTGGAACATGGTGCCGCCTTTCATGAAAAAGGATTTTTTTCAAATAGATAAACAAATATATTTATAAGACTCGATAGGAGTCACCTTTCCTCTTTGTAGGTAATCTCAATCATCAGATTAGACCTCGTCAATCTATTCCATGGCATTTACCATGAAATTCAGCCGACCAGCTAATTGATTCATTCATTTTTGAATTTGAATTCATTTAACCCGATCAGGCACCCTATGGGACCATGCGGGTGACTATCTTCAATATTTACAAAGGAGGAAACTAATTTGGTGAAAACCCCCTGACCCTGTCTTTTTATGTTCCAATCAATTTATTTAGTTTACCTTCAGGAAGTGCAGTGTACACTGTGCGGCCAGTGTGGGTTCCATCCTCTCCCCTTTCAGATCGATTTATTAAATCTGACATTGCTACCTCGAATTCTCCTGCAAGTGGAATCTATTTTATTCATCCTTTGTTTAGTATCCACTGTGTGATTCTAGCCACATCTTCTGGGCTATTCATCGTTACTTCAAATGTTCTGTCTTTAGCTTGTCGAAGAAAGTTGCCTCTTACATTGGCCCACTGCGGACACGCCAATACCATTTGTCTGGCGTTTTGTGACGGATATCCACATTGACAGCTTGGCTTTTCTACTCTGGCTACTTTTCTTCTGCACAGGTAAGAATTGAGCCCGATTTGCTCTTTTTTTTTTAAAAAATCATTTAATGTGTATTCAGCTATCTAGCTATGACACATGACCGGTGCTATGTATACATGTGGGATGACTCTTTTGATGTTAGAGACACTCATACTCTGGATTTCATTTGCAAATACCACTATGAGGTATGCTTGCTTACACAAACAGTCGACCCTCCTCCATGAGTACCCACCAAAGGGAATTTCGAAACCTTTGATTATCCAAGCATGCCTTCGTCATCCATGCATACCAGCGCCGCGAGAAATGTGGTTGTGTTTTGCCGGATTCGAACCAGCGATTTACTGTCTCGAGTGGGATATGTGTCCAAGCTATCCAGACTCTACTTGGCAGACCGGCCAAGACGATGTACCACCACACCATCCAACCATGGCGGTGTTTATAGTGTCGCCTGCACTCTCGCAAGCGAAGACTTGACACGCAGAAAGCGAAATTTGTAAAAACTCCTTGCCAAAATTCGAAACTCCACGCCCGTCGAGACTGTATCCATCCTTCGCATCATCTTGTTTACTTGTCCTGAATCCTCTCACGCCAATCCCAAAGAACTGTCTCCCAGATTTGTGCGCCACGCTTTGTGTCCTCCGTCGGGTATAAATATCGGCGTGGGCGTGTATTTGGTGACCGGCTGAGGCCAAAGAAAGTCGACGAGAAGTGTGATCATTGGAATAAGGATGTACTAGGTCGTACTCGTAGACTTGATGAGGCTTAGGTAGTAATCGATTTCGTTGGAAGTGAAGGATTGATATGGTGGAGTAATTTGAATCATTGCCTCGTGGGCCAACTTGTTCGGTATAGCGAAATTTGACTGAACTTGGCTCTAGGAGAATATTTCACTCCCAGGTTCGTAGAGGACACCGCGTACAGGTGTTCAGTCTTACTCTCCGCCCGATTTTCTCGCTTCTTAGCTGAATGGCGACACTGCTTTGGGTCCTGGTTATAATACGGTGGATTTTTAAGGGTGTATCTTTGAAATTCATTTTGGTGCTGCCTGTTTGTTCATCAGTAAATGTATTTGCCGCTTTCCAATGTTCTGGATCGGCTGATGCTGGTCGACCAGGGCGCTGTTTCCTGATCTAGCTTGTCCATGAATCCTTCCACTCCTGAAAGGCCGCTTTCTTTCCAGCTTCTTTATGCCTTCCCCTGTCCTTTTCCCTTCCACAAGTTCTTGTCCATTCGGCGATATATTTACTCCTGTTCAAGGCATACGAAGTTTCTCTCCCGTTTGCGGGAAGTTTTATCCTCTTAAATGTCGATCGTTTTGTCTATTGAACTGGGAGTTTAGCTGATAGTCCGGCGTGCTGGACCCTTCTTTGCTTTAGGTATATCTCTATAGGGAGGACGGAGGATTCGTGCTCTAGCACTCTGCTGCTAGTAGAATTGTAGACATCTGCAACAAGCTTTGAGCATTTTCTTTGAATACTTTTGAGTGAAATTAATGCATTTTATTATCCTGTCTGAATCCATGATTATGTAGGATATGCAGATCCTCTCTGCCTACAGGCTAAGGATACCACACCAGTAGTATATCCCATCCTATGCCTCCCACACAGCTCCCCTCACAATTCCTCGTCCAATCATACACTTAGAGGAGCCCTTTGCCCTTCATTATCTTCCCTCTCCAGCCAACGAAATGATGGCCATTTGCGGGTGTATGGCAGCCGGGAAATTTTGCAAAAACCACTGGGTGCGGGGCTCTTCTAATACCGACATTAGGACTAAATCCGAAGACATAGTGACCCTTCTGGTGCGTTCGAAGAGGCCGGCCAGCTGGGCGCTGCAGACTCGTGAGTACCTTGGGAAATTCACCCTCTGCCTTTCTAGCCTCCTTCCAACTCCTTCATGAAGGTTGTGCTGAAATGTCAGCAAATTCTTGACAGAGCGTGGTTACTGTATGGTAGCTTAGCCCAACCTCTTTTGTGCCGTCCAGGGCGCTGGGGAGTGCCGTTGACTCATCAACAATTGAAATCCTCCTGGCTAGCTAATCGAAATCTCGGTCTTGGCGCCTACAGACGATACGAAGTTGAAAATACCGCAAAAATGTCAGTCACAGCATGGTCTATAGAGACATGTTCCCCCTCTCGCTCAACACCTCAGGCGCCTGTTCTCCCTTAAGTTGTTTGTTCCATTAGAGCAACAGTTTCCCACGAGCCAAGACCCAGGCTTTGTATTTTTCGACTTGATTTCCTCTTTCTGTGTATAAAAAGCGTCGTAAATATGCAGTGGAAGATGGTTGATAATTAATAGGACAAGCTCCCGTTTGCAATTGGAGCAACTCCCTTATCGGTCTTTGAGGCGAAGTGATGTGTGGTTAAAAAGGGGTTAAGGACTTAGATGAGTATGGTAAGAGGTGCATTATCGAAAAATCGTCAAATGGGGATGTGCATAAGGTTGCTTGCGACTTCGATTCGGATGCCATTCTTCTTGGTTTTCCCAGATATGCAGAGCATACTGAGCGATACACCAGCACCACTGGAAGGTGAAGAATTCGTCTTTGCCGGCTAAGCCGACCAATAAACGGCTACCCACAGGAAGAGGAATAAAAAAGATAGGAAAGCAGAAAGGCTGACCCGTTGATATCCCAAGCCAACGGCATTCAAATCGTTAAGAATTGGTTTTTCAAATCTCGGCCTCAGAAAAAATAATCAGGTGTACTTCTTAATTATCAGAGTTAGTGGGTTCTGGAATTATCGATTTTGGAGGCCCATAGTGCAAAGAGATGTGTTTAGGTATATGTAAGTCTGCCGCGCCCGACCGGACTGTCTCATTTATTGCTTCTAAAGGCTGCCTTTGGCTACGACTATACTCGTCAAGTTATTGGTGGCAGAGCTCCACATCCAGTAGCCTCTATGAGTCTTAATGGCTGCCATAAACCGGCTTCTGGCCGTTACTTGTCAGGCGGTAGAGGAAATGATTGTACGATATTGGCCTCTTCAAGTTTCTTTTCGTATAGAGCTATGCAGTGGCATTACCGCTCAGAAAATGCCGAGAAAGTAAGATAATTTTGGCCTAGCTACTCCTGATCTATGTAGAAATAGGATATATATCTCTTGATATAAATTTGATATCAGTTGGACAACAAATATAACCCTCATCAAATAAAATATCTTATGAAGGGCGCAATCGTTACATTCCAGTAAACACAGTGGTCCGTACATACATCCACCCCTCTCGAAGTAGACTAGTGTAGGCTACAGCGTCTGCAACAACAAGCATACGTGAATGACTGCAGGATGCGCCGGAAATTTTCTACTGTTTCATTTTGTGGGACTATACAGGGGATGAATTCTGAGAATGATCACTAAAGAAAGTGCAATTCAGAGAACAACGTATTGACATTGGCTTGCAATTGACCCTTGTCCGTTGTCTTGAAATGGATGTCATTTTGCTCATTCGAATGTAACTTGGCCCCATTCGTTGATAGCAAGTCTTGAAGGACAAAATTAGAATTGGGTTCTGTCACTTGCTGGGGTTTACCATCAAGTCTCGAATTTTATTCGCTTGCATAAAAACAGTTGAGATAGAGCTGTTGAAGCATTTAATCACCTTAGAGACTAGCTTTGACGAGAGATGTTTTCCGATGGTCCTGGAAAGTTCAAGTCGCCCGTCGGTATTTTCGGCTGAGACGTATCTAGAGTAAGATGCAAAAATAAAAATCAAAGATGCAGATAGTCTGCGAAGAACTTAGGACAGTTACGAATTATGGCAATCCATTTTAATGACTTTTATCAAGAATTCTAATTTCAGCCAACTACTAGCTGTGCCCAAAATGTAAGCACCTGAAATTTTTACTTTAACGCGATTCACCAGTTGTGAAACGCAATACTCTATGCTTCGTTCAGTAAGCATACTCGAGAGCTTTAGCGCCAAATTCCTACGACCCAAGGCTGGGGAAGGCGCTCGTATCATTGGTGTTGATAGAAGCATTGGTTTCCGGATTACCTTGGCCATTTCCGCGCCCTGCCCTCGAAGGTCCATCGCCACGCCCACCGCGCCCACCCCGGCCACGCCCACCCCGAGGGCCACCGCCACCACGACCTCTTTCAGATCCCTCAGTGAAACGTTGATCAATTTCGAGGAATTGCTTCTGTCTGCGCTCACGTTCACGTTTTGCTTTTCCCCCGGATCCTGGAACAAGATCTTCTTCTTCGTCCCTGCAAATGGGCTTGGCGTTAGCCCATTTCTTATCCTGTTCCCGACCTTCATTGGGCTTTCGGAGCTGAGGTGTTTCTGCAGCAAGAGCCAATTTCTTTTCTTGTTGTTGGATAAGATACTCGGCATAAGATATACTGTTTTCCTCGGGCTCAGCATCATTTGCGGGGCCGGATGCGGCTTCTGCTTCACCCCATGAAGCCATGGCATCTTTTGTTTCTGCGTTAGCTAGCGCTTCTCCAGCTTGCTCATCGGCAAGCTCGGCTTTGCCTTCATTAGCTCCCCATCCATGGCTGGCTTGCTTTTCAGAGTCACTGGATGAGTCAGACCAGAGCGGGAAAGACTGTTAGATGTATATTACCCCCCAACGCCCCTACTGTGGCGATCAAAATTGCGTGGCTCACTTCGTCCACCACGTCCACGACCCTCGCCTGAGCCACGATTTCTTTGTCGTTCAACCTCATCAATCGGCTTTGCTCTATTCTGAGCGCTACCAGCGTTTCGGTCACGGAAAGCTTGATTTAGATATTAAGTCAGTGATTTACCTTAAAATCTGATAAAACCTTGCATTAACACGAATGAACTTACCACCTTCATTGCCCTGTGCCGCACGAGAGCCACCCCGCCCCCCAGTTGATTCGGGGACTTTTGTGGAAGGAGCTTCTGCTGGGGCGTTGCGCTTGGTAGTTCTAGCAGGTGTCTTGTCTATGACCTTGACGGGTGGTTCAGGCTCTCTGTCGGAATCCTCATCATGAGTATTTCCTGATTGAAGTCAATAAAATTAAGATATGAAAAACTTAAAAAGTTATACCGAGTAGCTCGTATAGGTTCTGATAATAATTGGTCAGCATTTGTACAGTGAGTAACAATTATATAGATGCAGTATTTCTTGCGGGAACCATTTAGGTCTGATGCTTTGGTAACTGTTGTTGAATAGGAGATCGGAGGTATTCACCTTAGATGCAACGACACTCATCTTATCAGCCTTTCCAAACGCCTCTGAGGAAGGCCTTTCTACCGAGTGTACAATTTGGAGTTGGTTTGTGAGGAAACAAGCCACACAAGCTCCTGGAGAGAAGCTTTTTTTTTGAGTAGGTTGCAGTAGAGTGAGATGCGGTCGAAGAATTTTGGGTGCGGCCAATTGTGAATTATCCAGCAAATTACGGCAGGTTATGGGTGCAGAATAAGCGAATTCCCAGAAGCAGAACCCTAATGCAGGGAAGGGCGCATCGAGTAACTGGTGTCACGTTATCACATCCGGCTGCCAAGTGCTGTTCTGCATGATTAGGCAAGTGATTAATCCCTTCATTTTATCCAAGACTATTTTAGGACATGTAGGACCTCTCTCATTACATGCTAGGAATATTTAGATAAGGCTATGGTGTACGATGTGACATGATTTTTGTGTGCCGATTCGCAAAAGTGGACCAACTGACTCATTGATCCACTAACGCTTCATCAAATTTATGGCCTCAGGAAAACCAGAGGCCGAACACCAGATAGTGGTATCCCCCACTAACCTGAGTGTGAAGTACTCCCCCGGAATCAGGAATCAGTCGCGACAATGAGTTTTCGTCGAGATGTCAGTCGTGAGCAGTGGCTTGGGTACGCCTCTAGTCGATAACCAGACCTGCAAAGCTGCAAAGATTTCAAGACTTCACAGTACAACCAGATCAATCATCTACGGGCCAGATACCAACTTCAGCCAAGTTTACTTGATGCTCGTCTCCCAAGATCTTATACCCTTCAAAAACTCGACTTTCCTTGCACTCTTCCACATAAATTCAACTTGCGAGCTACTGAACCTGTCCATCATCCAAAATCGTACTCGTAATCCAATCTACAAGAGGACATTCGTCTCTCCACATCTGGCGCGCGCTGTGAAGGAATAGTCGTTGTATCGGCCTTAAAAACGTCAATACCTCGGCCACGATCACCAACAACTTGCTTCCAACAAATCGTTGTTGACCAATGATCATGAACGAAATACCGTAGCTAATTTTTCGGTGCATGGTACAGAGAATTTGACAAAGGTCGGGGTACCTGTGACTCGCTCGTACGCTGTTGTTAGTATATTCGGCCTCCACGAATCAGGTTAGGGCAGCGACAGGTCGAGGCCAGAAGGTTAGATGATGTCCCAAACTTCCCAAGGAGGGATTGATAGTTAGAGCAAAGAGGCACTAAAATAAAGTAGAATAGAGAAGAAAAATTCAGGAGGGCTTGATGGGCAATTTCATAGAGCTTTCAGAAATGATGTCTGTGGGATGTGATAAAGAGATGTTGAAATGGGTCAGCGCTGTTACTGAATACGAGAGTATTAAGGGCTCGGACTTATGATAGCCGAGGCTGAGGAGGAATCTGCGCTTCGGTACGACGGAACGTGGCTTTCTAGATTGTCGTATTGTGCATGATTCAACCGATGAGTGAAGTTTGAGCTAATTTAGTCTTCCAGGCGGGATGGGTCTCTTGTATTTAGCAAAAGTAAATCTGATCTATCCCCGACCACCCACGCTCTAGCTCTTCTAGGAATGCGGAGAGTGTAACCTGTTTAGCAGGGTAGTTTATCAAAAATGGTGGTCCATATCTAATGCATCTTATAAGCCCAAGGGAATAACTGAGATTTGGTGTGGTTATGAGCTATGCGGAAGTTGTACTGCGGAGTGATGAGAATGGATAATGTTATATTTAGTGGGTGACAATGAGTTGGCTCATTCAATACCTTTCTGTAAGTGTATATACAGAAATTTTATGACTAAACCTGTATTCCTTTATTGTGGGTACATCTATGAAACTATATCTATGCTCGCCTAACCAATACACTATTGATATATGCTGTTGTGACGAGCTTTGCCCGGATTGGGGTTGGTCGCTAGGATCACTCCGTCTTTTAGGCTAGGCTGTGGCATAGCAGCGCTCCTGGAAATGCGAATGGGGCGCATAAGGAGGTATCATGGGGGGTACGTACAAGATGGGGAATATGGTACAGGAGAAAGGATGATTCTCAAGTAGCCAAGGGGGGAGATAAGAATAGTCTACGCAGAGGATATAAGGGGTGGGAGACTACGTGGAAGATTGGCTTCACGGGGAAGAACTTATTAATTCTTATCAAGTTATTGTCTTCCAAGTACATCTAAATTCATTAAACCTTTAGAGCTGTGGCTTTGAGGCACACACTATGCCCCAGCCGAGGCTACTTCGTTGTCTCATATCATGACAAGATTTCTCACACAGTAAATTTAATTTATCATCAACATTTACAGCGTAAACAATAAATATCCCTTCGCAAGGACAGCTTGCTGAGCGTGGCCAAGTCGATTTCGATTGACACCTGGGCTAGGTTCCGTTCCCGGCACGATGGATCGAAAGTTTAAGTTTGGGTCTCTTCTATTCAGTCTTCTAACAACTTCCCGATTGAGTTTGACTGGGAGGACTTTACGACTCACCAACAACCCTCCAAAATCAAAGGTAAAATTCCTTTCGCCTTCAACCTTACTAACATTGTGTGCAGGGCTGGGCAATTGCTCGGCCTCATTTTAGACAAGCACCTAGACCGCGACATCAACATTCTCAATCTTTCAACACATTCTAAAGACGGCGCGAACGAAGAAGCCTCACTCAGACAACGAACAATGTACGACAAAAGCTGGGGTACCGATGCCTCGGTTTTGAGCTCTCAATTTCGGAATTTCAGCCCTCTCAAATGGGGGTTGAGCGCAATGCAGGGGAGAATTTGAGAGGAACGATATGTGATTTTCAAAAAGCTGTTGGCACAGTTGGTCGGGTGCTGGATGTGCTTTCTAGAAGTGGTAGGTTGGATCCCTACACGGCCTGTTTAAGGGGGGACTACGGCTGCTCGTCGTGAAAGAGTACAGGAGGAATTATTGAGGTTTTCCCACAAAGGTTTTCCCACAAAGGTTTTCCCTCAATACATGGTCTTAGGATCATGGTGAATGCGTTCCTACCTATTCGACCCAACGTAACTAGCGTGAGGCACGTATTTGGAGAAGTCAGGCACCAGATGGGCTTTGCTGGAGAATGGAGGAACTTGTATTCTAGATGTCCTCCATGCGTGTCATGTCCATTGGATGGAGGGTGTAAGCCTGGCACGATAAATATAATCATCATCATTTACAGCGTAAATTGGAGAGGCCGGGAAAAAATGGCCCCAATTGGGACCATGGAGTGTGAGTGTGAGTGTTTATTGTCCTAAAAAGTCTATAACTATTAGAATAAGATTCTCTTAGGCAACTGATATAGGATTACTGGAAGTAGATTGGATAAAGTATTGGGTTAACAGAATACGGAGCGTGTATCGCGACTGCTTCTCAACACTCTCTCCTAGTGCTACGACCTAGCTCTCGCTACACGCTAATATGGAACTACTAATACAGGGTATATAAGGTCTCCAAACGCCTTACCCATTATGTCATAAGTAAACAATAATCACGACTATAACTCCGTTACACCACACCTCCACGCGCATAAATAAATCTATCCACTCATCGATACCCGAGAAATCAAGCAGCACCATGGCTGCGCACAGCCAGCCGTCGTCCTCGGCATCAACTGACCCAGGAGACCTAACACACCCGAGCCTTCTTGGGATTGCCGCCGCAATGGAGCAATCGGAACGCGAGAAAAAACAGCGAATGAGCGTAGCGCAAAATTTCCTACAACATATCGATGCCTGGGCAAAGTCCTTGTCAGAAAATGAAGGCGCGCACTTAGTCGCGCCACTAACAGAAAATATTTCACCTATCGTAACAGCATTTGCGTAAGGCAAGGTCAACGCCGCAAGTCACCAAGGCAAGAAATCATCCCATGAAAGTTCTCAGATAAAAACCTCTGTACCCATGGCGACAAAAATAGCGGAGAAACCCCATCACGATCTGTTGGAAATATCGCGCAATGTAATGGGCGCAATATTCATGGAACGAAAGTAGAAGTTGACTAAAATGGTGTCATGTTCGGATTACAGCTAAAAGTGTGGGAAGTGTGCGCTACAAGTACAAGTGTAAGTGACACAGAGCCTAAGCCACTGCACAAACGAGTGTGGCGCCATCTAGGCATAGAAAACCCCCAATAACCTCCTTGCGCCCACGCCATACAGCCGCTCATATGTCCAATAGGTAGCCTGAAGCGCTACCATATTACCTATTCCAACCTCTTACATACACCCAAGATCGTGTCGGGAACCTAGACGAAATGGAGGGCCCATACGTCCACAACACTCCGTGTCTCCATTTCCAACACGATCTCCCTCAAAAGCCAAGAGAAACTGCTTCTCCGTGGGTGACTATAGCCCGAAAAGCAGCCAAGCTCCCGGATCCGCCAGCCAACCTGGTAAAGCGAAGGTCTGCTGTGCAGTCAAAATCAGCCGGATAAGTGCCTCCGAAAAAGGATAAACGACTTTTCGTTCGCATGGGACGCGAACATCAGTGACGGAGGCTATCACCTGTCACAATTAAGGAGCTCATCACTGAGAAAGCTGGAGTCGCACCTTTAGCAATTATAGCGATGATTCAAGTTAGGTCTGGCCTAGCAATGGAGTGCGCATTAGACGCACTCCGGGAATCAATTCTAGGTGTAGGACCTTCATTTCAAAAGGAGGAAATCACAATCGAGCCCGCCTCGGATTGGGCATCGGTCATGGTCCCTCACGTCCCAATATGCATCCGTAAATTAGACGGAAGGATCGAAGTAACCAGAGAAATGGTGAAGGCGGAGTGCCAGGTAGTTTGTGGAGTTATACCAATTCAGGTGCGCCCAAGCGAAACCAAACTAGGCAGCTATTCCGCTAGCTGGATCGTGCACTTCAAACAGGCACCAGCCAACCTAAGGTTCAGGCTGTTCGATGAGAGTGGCCCTGCCATACCATTCTCCCGTAAACGCCCCATAGAGTAATGTCAACGCTGCTGGGGCTACCACTCAACAAGGAACTGCGTCAAAGGACAGCGGTGCGAAAAGTGTTCAGGCACGCATGAAGCAGCCAAATGCTCGGTGAACATACCCAAGTGTTCAAACTGTGCTGGGCCGCACGAATCAACCCACTTAAACTGCATGGCCCGGCCAAGGCGATACAATGGACAAGTAACGCCTCGTACACCAGCCGAGCTACGAGTTATTCGAGAGTGAGGACACATAGATTTTAAGGCAGCGTTATTAAGATCTCAAGAAAAAGGTAAGGCCCGCGAGGTCATTAGCATACCAGAAGAAACAATGCTT